TTTGGAGAAGGGTCGGTCTCTGTCCCCGTATTCTTCCTCTACGGTAAGTTGTCTTGCGTCTTTTTACTGGTCAGTTCCTGTTTTCGCTTCTTGTGTTTTTTTTTGGTTTTGGTTTTTTGTTTGTTTTTTCATTAGTCGTTGAAGCGTTTTATTCTGGTAAGACTTCTGCTGGTCGTTTCGTTGTAGTCATGCGCGGTCGTCATTTTTACCTTTTGTGTTTGTGTTGCATATGAATATGGTGTTCATATGTGCCATTGCTGATTATTGAATTTGGATTGAATGTGGATTGCAGTGAGCTGTGGATTCCTTTCACGGTTGAAAGGTGAACTACAGGAACTGACCCATAAGGGGTGTGATTTGAGAGAGAAATGTTCGTGGATGTAATGTATGTTGTTCTTCCTCTGGATATTCGCTGAATATTATGGAAGAATGATGCAACGATAAAGATTGTTAAAGATAGTGGTGGGAACTGTTGGAGGGCGCGTGTTTCCTGCTGTCCTTCGAGTTCTATGCCAGGCTGGGCTCCCATATCCCTGTAGCTTTCTGTTCCATCCACCTCAGAAATACGTTATGTAAAGTAAGGTCAAAAAGTGTTCTATTGCTGTATATTAAGAGGAAAGAAGAAAAAAGCGTTTTTGCATTCGTTGTTGAAGTCTGATGATTTTGTAAGGAAAACCACTCGTTTTTTCTCCTGTGTATCTGAATAAAGCTGCAAATACAGGTTCACTTGGAGAGTAGGTCTTAGTGCTGGTTTCTGCATTGATGTCCTTATTTGGAGAGTGATTATTTACGGGTTGTTTTGATATTGTTGCAAACTCAGGTCATCTTGGCTGCGCACTGATGGTATTTGTAGATTTTTTTTTCATTCAGGCCAGCTGCAAAACACTCTTTGGGATAAAGTGTTAAGGTCATGTTTAAAGTTTTGTGATTGATGCTAGAATCTGGATGTGTCCTTTGTGGAGAAACATGAACGTCTCTTTATACTGCTTTAGTTCTCGTTTTAGTGTAAAAACAGAGTATGTTGGGCTGCCAGGGTAGTAAGAACAAAGTGTACTCCTCTCATTATACATTCAATTCACTGAAGGTGCGTGTATGGCTCATTATCATGGTATGATTTTTACAGCATATTTTCTGACGACTTCTGTAAGCGATTTACACGAAAGTTGAGGTCTGAAAAAAAGAAATATCTGCGATTGTTGGTGATATGACAAGAATGCTGCTTTTGGGGGTAGCGAAATCCAGTCAAGAGAGTTGAAAACATAGTGGCCAGTGGTTTTTTTGTTTGTTTGCTTTTAATACAATAAGATTGAGATTTCCCTCTGAACTATTTAAAAGAATATTTCTGAGCATGTTCCATGAATTTCTTTCTTTCGTGCATCTCTTTTAGATCTCTTAGAAAAAGGTTTTTGTTCTCTTTCTGGAAATAAGATGGGTATTGTGTTTGTATGCCTTTAATCTCAACCCACAGCTGATACGTATCAATAGAACGGCTGATCACCTCTTGATTATGCACGAACTGCCTTCATTTGTCTGTGATCAAGGCTTCTTCCAGAGCTGCAGATCTGTCATTTTTCTTCTCTTAATTCACAAGAATGTGATACGAAGCTGGAAACGCAAACCACCATCTCCTAGAGAAGAATCCTCTGGATTAAGTTTATAAGATTGAATCAGTGCTGTAGAAGGGAATGTATAACCACATCAAGTAGCTCATTTCTCTGTGCTGTACGATTAAGGGAGATGAGCCTTTTCTTGCTAAATCGTTTGGGACAGGGTGGGCTTTGCCTTCCCTGCGATTTCACAGAATCACAAGGGTTAGAAGGGACATCCTGAGATCATCGAGTCCAACCCGCTGCCAGTTCCCTACACCAGGTCACGCAGGTAGGTGTCCAGGCAGGTGTTGAATATCTCCAGAGAAGGAGACTCCACAACCTCCCTGGGCAGCCTGTTCCAGTGCTCCGTCACCTCACTGTACAGAAGTTCTTGAGCACATTTGTGCAGAACTTCCTATGCTGCAGTTTCTGGCCATTTTCCCTTGTTCTGTCTCCACTCACCACTGAAAAGAGTCTGGTCTTGCCATTCTGCCCCCCACACCTTAGATATTTATAGACCTGGATCAGGTCTCCTCTGAGTTTTCTTTTCTCAAGGCTAAACAAACCCAGTTTCTTCATAGGGGAGATGCTCCAGACCCTTCACCATCTTTGTGGCTCCCCTTTCTCTTGGTAACTCCGAGTTCAGTCGTGAATTGAAAATCAGAATGTGATTTTGCTGTAGTCGTATAGCGGCAGGAAAGAATGCAGTAGTTTGTTTAGAAATACACAGCTGTCAGCTGCCAGAAACGAACCACGTGGAAGCTTTTATTTCGTAGGATATCCTGGGAAAGAGTCCTCGGCAGAACATGCGAGAATACCCAGTCTGTGCCTGGAATAAACCCTGACAGCATGGCGCGGGGTTATCAGCCGCTGCAAGCTCAGGCTGCCGCAAAGGGGCGCTAACGAATTAGCGGTGCTTTCAGGCACAGGAGGCAGCTAAAGCTGTGCTCGGAGCCGGGAACTTGGCAACCCAGCACTGATCTGTGGGAGCTCGGGAGCCGCCGGGCTCGGAGCTGCTCGGTCGCACGCGGGACCGAACCCCGCTGCCCCTGCGTCCTCCTCCGAGCGCGGTGGTCGCTGGCTGCGGTAACCGAAGCAGCCTCTGCCCTCCAGTTCCAAACGCGAGTTCTTTCTTGCGATGTAGCGTCGTGTTTCCGTGTTTCTGTAGCTTGATGTGGACGATGAGAATGGGGGAAATCAGGATTTTCGTGGCGTTTGTTGAAATCTCTACGCCCGCCCCGTAGGAGATAGTTCTCCCCGGTTTATTTTAGGACTTTCCACTCCCGTTGTGCCCACGGAGCAGTTGCGAGCTCCCGTGGCTTGCCCAAGGGCATTCCAACCTCGCTGTCTGCTCATGTAGCGGTCAGATTTCTCTCCGTAGAGGTCTGCCAGCCCTGCGGCGACAAAAGCGGATCAGCCCGGCGCTACCGGGCGGGGGGAGGCGGCAGTTCGGGCTCGGTGCTTCTGGCTCCAGTCTTTCTCATCCCGCGGGCAGACCCCGTTCTCTGTCGGACAGAGTAGGAGCTGTGCTCACGCTCCAGCGGGACCCTCGGTTATGGAGGGCACCCCTGGCATCTCCCTACGTATCGGGCAGGACAGGACGTGTTTGTACTCCGCAGAAATCTCCCGAAGGCGTCGCTCTGCATCTGCACAACCCGGGTGCATTGCTTGCGGGGAACGGAGTAGTAAAAATCGTCGTTCACATAGGTGATGCTGTTCCAGCACGCGTGGAACAACAGTTTCATGTGGTGCAGTTATCCCCGAGATAACCCAGTGTAAGTACTCACCTTTATGTTTTGCCTTTCCTCGCTTAACGGTTTCTTCTGGCCGCTACCATTGTCCGTTGCCCAGTGCGCACGTCTGGACTAATGACGTCTTCTGGCCGGAAAAAAGGGATGATTGGCTGAAAATACAAGACGGGGCGGGACGAAGAGAACAGAAGGCGTTCTGGGGGCTGTGGGGCGTGGTAAATGCAGCGCTGCGGCCGCCAACCGGGAGAGGGAGCGCGAAGGGGGGCGG